TTATCAAACTTTAACTGTTTGTACTCTGAGAGACTGAGGCGGTTTTTTTTTTTTTTTTTTTTTTTTTTTTTTTTTTTTTTTTTTTTTTTTTTTTTTTTTTAACAAAGGTCGTTTCAAGCAAATGAGTGACACCGGCACCCCCGTTGCAGGGGCCAGGGGATGCATGAATCACGGAGGACACTGAGGATGGATAAGAGGCACACAAGCTGCGAGCTGATAGCAAGTCAACTGATCCCTGTAGAAAAAAGAGTGGATTTCAGGGGCTGGGGCCCCTCTGCTTGGTAGTGGACGAGCCCCGCAAGTCTAGCAAGTTGTGATACCGAGGGGGCTAGAGGGCTGGTAGGCTAGGTAGGAATGTGTGGCCTGGAAAAGGGGTTATGGTGTTCAACAGTGCTCCAATAATGGGACGCTGTGCCCGGTTCCCAGCACGTGCCGCTCCTCACGAATAAGATTGGAATCATCAAACCCTGGGGACCTCACTACAAGCATGGGCTCTTATCCCTGCCTGTAGTAGAGGCGCCCCAATTGATATTTTCAGAAGAAAAAAAAATAAAAATAAAAAATTGCACTCTGTATGCAGCCTGGCAGCAGCTACTAGCTTAGACTACATTACATACAATGTGTTCTGTGAACTTGAGGACTTCCATCAACTTGTTGATTTTTTCTCTCTCTTCGAACCTTCCTTCGTGCGATTCTTATCTTTAAGCTTCTTGTTCATCTCTCTTTGGTGGCCTTTCGTGATCGTACAGGTCAATCACCCGGATCTGTTCGACATGTATTCAGCGGGTGTTATTCTTCTGCAGATGGCATCTCCCCAGCTTCGGACGCCGATCGGGTTATCGTCGCTGAAAATGGAGCTGAAGGAGTGTGATTGGGAACTGAAGATCTGGCGCAACAGATCACGATTGCGGCCGGACTTGTCGTTACTAGACATGGATGGGGGTAGGGGGTGGGATTTGGCAACCAAGCTAGTGTGTCAAAGGGGACCCTTAAGAAGGGGTCGGCTTTCTGCAGAAGCAGCCTTGAGGCACCCGTACTTTCTTCTTGGTGCTGATCAAGCCATCTCATTAATGTCCACCCTTAGCATTTCCAAATGATTTCTTTCTTGCTGTTGGCCCCACCATCTTCGTCCTCGTTCTCTTTTCCGATCTGTTCTACAACCCTCCCATACTCCAACCTCCCACCCAAGGATGCCCACCAACCCTTTGGGCAGATCATGGGCTGATGGTGATACCTTCACAGTTCCATGGTTGTCCCACCTGTGTATGATTTATGCCTACAAATAATGCCTATCGCTAATGCCTATAGATAATGCCTATAGATAATGCCTATAGATACTAGATAAATAGATAGTTTGTCCCAGCTGTGTATGATTAGTGCCCATTCAATAGTTATCACTGCCAAAGTTCAAAGAGGCATTTGCCGGCTAACAGCCTATACCAGTTGTACGATTCATTTAACAATGTCATCATTAATACATTATAGATAACAAGTCGAGGTGCACCTCGGCATTGCCGCGGCAGCAAGAAGATGAGATCCACACGTGTTTGTGTTTGTTTGCCTTAGCAATTCTTTGTCTTTGGAATCTGGAACGAAGGTTCGAACATGAATCCAAATGAGTGCGGCATTCCTTGGCTCCATGGGATGATGCACTATGCGGTACTACGCAATACCATGTGGGTTCGGTGCTGTACTATGCTGTGTACTATGCTGTACTCTGTGGAGCGCTTTGTGGGCAGGAAGGGTGATTCTAAGTGGGTTGGGTGCTACCACGTGGACTTCGCGGTCTGGCTGCGGAGTAGGGACTGGATGGTACAGTCCATTCATTGCGGCACAATGCAGGGTAGGCAGACAATGCTACTTGCATTGGGCGGTGCAATGTGGGTTATGTGTGTGATGCTATGTGGGTCAGGCTGTGCCCCACACCCCCCCACAAACTCCCCTTGGCCCAAACTACTACATAGTGCCACTGTTCCATGGTCGAGACAGCTCGCCGTGGGTGCAGCTATGGCTGCATCGCACACCTGCTCCTCCTCCTCCCCCCCGTTCCTTTGCCACCTTCTCCTCCTCCCCCGTCTTTGCCGAATCCTCTCCATCGTGCTCCCTCATTCCCCTCCTCCCTCGGCCACCACCTTGTCCTCTGCTGCGTTCTCCTCCTGCCCATCCTCCTCTGCCATGACCTTCTTCTGCTCCCGCTTGCACCATGCCCTCCTACACCCCCTCCTCTGCCATCTATGTCCCCAAGCAAAACGAAAGAAAACAGGCCTTACACACGAAAAACAATTTCCGCCTCCTGATCTCAGACCAGGACCCCAGTGCGGACTGACTCGTGACGAGGCCCCATGGCCAACGTCAGGGACAGCTCCGCCCTTGGCAGGGCCAGGCACTGCCATGCGAGATAAAAGCGATATCATGTGGCGTGGGCGATACTATGTGGGTTGGGAGGTATTATATGAACTGGGCGGTGGCATTTGGGGCGGGTTATACTATGATGTGGTAGAGTTTATTGATCCTCTTCCACTGCATGTCGCGTGGAGGAACGACTACCTAATGTTGGCCATCAACCTGGCTGAGGGGCAGATCTTCACAATTGATGATATCATCCCGTTTTGTATAGGAGGGAGGATATACCGCATTCATACTGCCCACAGCTCCGGCTTTGGTGTTTTAAATGCCAGGCCTATGGACACTTGTACATGGACACAGACTGTGCACGCCACCCCTCACGAAGATACCCCTTCGAAAAATCACGGTGGCACACTGTTGACCCCGGCAACGAGGGTTGGGTTTATATTGATGCAGCAAAAGAGACGAGGGGGGACGTGATCGGATAGTCATGGGAGGGGCCGGGCGAACCCAGGCGAGAAAGTAAGCCCCTGGCCACATGCCCCCCCCCAAAACTCTGGAGTCCCACTTAGAATGCCTTCCCCCTCGGGGTGATTCGGGCGGACCCAAAGAGACCCAAACCGGAATATGGGAAAGGGTCAAAGGAAAAAAGGGCAGCAGGAACCAGGGGGGGACAAACGGTACAAGTGACGTAAGCTGTACCAACAGTGTTGAGCCAGGGAGGGGAGGGGAGGGCAATTGTTTCGCACCCCTGATGGACCCGCGGGGTGTCGTGAGTCGTGACCCAGGGACAAGATGCAGTTTCCCAAATGGGGCCAGGAGGAGGGCAGCTGACGGAGGGGGACAGGATCAGAATTGTGGATTCCACCCGAGGAGAGACCACGGGGGAAGGGCAAGGGACACAGGGTCCGGAGATGGGGGTGATGGAAGGACAGGAAGGACACAACAGGGGACCACGGATGGGACCATCAGACCTGGGGGATCAGGGGCAGAGAGGGGGGGAGGTACAAGGAAGAGAAACTGGAGACACAAGCATAATCGGCACAAGGGCTGTCGCAAGCACAGGGGGCATATCGAATGCAACATGGGCTACAAACACAGCAATTGCAGACCCCCCAAGCCCAGCAAGCCCAGCAGGCGGGACAGCCACTTCGGACACAGCAAAGTCAGCAAGCGCAACATATACAGCAGGCTCAGCAGAGCCAACAAGTGCAGCGGGCACAACAAGCACAGCTAGCACAGCAAGCACGGCAAGCACAGCAAGCACGGCAAGCACAGCGAATGCAGCGAGCGCAACAAGCACAGGGGGCACATCAAACGCAACATGGGCTGCAAGCGCAAGCCCTCCACACCCGGACAGCCACTGCGGACACAGCAAATGCAGTAAGCACCACATGCACAACAGACTCAGCAGACCCAACAAGCACAGCAGGCACAACAAGCACAACAAGAAGGGCAGCACACGTGGCAAGCACAAAAGCACAGCAGGCGCAGGCCCAGCAGACACAACCGTTGAAGCAGGCACAACAAGCACAGCAAACACAGCAAGCACGGCAGGCGCAAACACAACCTGCGCGAGCCCAGGAGCAAACGCAGCAACAAATGCAGCAAGAGTGTGGCTGTCATAGCGAACACAACAAGGACAGAAGATACAGTAGACGCAACGGGCACAGCAAACACAACCAGCGCACCAAGCACAGCAAGGGCTGGGGGACGAGTCGCTGGAAAGGACAAGGACCTCAGACTTTTGCGCCCAGCAGACACAACCGTTGAAGCATGCACAACAAGCACAGCAAACACAGCAAGCACGGCAGGCGCAAACGCAGCCTGCGCGAGCCCAGGAGCAAACGCAGCAACAAATGCGTCAAGAGTGTGGCTGTCACAGCGAACACAAGGACAGAAGATACAGTAGACGCAACGGGCACAGCAAACACAACCAGCGCACCGAGCACAGCAAGGGCTGGGGGACGAGTCGCTGGAAAGGACAAGGGCCTCAGACTTTTGCGTAGACGCCTTTGGCGCCCAACCGATGGACGTGGACCCACAGCTCCACTCCCCCCAGATGTGGCAATGGCTGATTGTGGGGAGGATCCGGACGCACCTCCGAACGAGATGGATCTGTTTTTTTTTTTTTTTTTTTTTTTTTTTTTTTTTTTAAACATACTCCCGCCAGTGTTAGTGGTGCTGGTCTGAGCAGACACCACTAGCACCTAGGGAGGAGCTCCAGTCTATTGGTGGGGAGCATCACCTGCTGGAAAACGGGTCCAGCGTCCCTTATACATTTGGAATACATTGAATTTGAGATACTCAGAAGCAATATTCCGAACCACTTGCCAGCATTGATTGCCCTGAGCATTAGAAGATTGACTGACCTTGCTCACCGAAAGAGATGGATCTGGACCTCAAGATTCAAACAATTGTGGAATGGATAATTCAACACTTAAGGTCACAGCAAGCACAAGGAAAGGAGGAATATTGGGATGCGTCGTATGTGGAACTGATTACGTTATTAAACAATAGCACAATGCTCAGAGAGCCGCTAACATCTGGCCCTCCAGCCCATTGGACATGGGCGGAGGTCTTTCAACGCATCCTCATTATTTCCCGGGGCCGGTTTCACCCCCCGCCGACCCAGGACCCTCCCTGGGCACAACAAGATCTGGATCGGGAACAACAGCAGCAAGCCCCTCCCTCGTTGAAGAATAAGCATACTCAACAAGAGGAGGAGGGCGGAATGGATCCCACTGGCTAGGGGTTGGCTTCGAGGCGCCTGAAGTTGTGCCAGCTCATTGAAAGGGGTCTCTTTGAGGTCCCCCTCTCTAAGACAGATGGTGTATTGGTGATCCCAATGAGGAAGACTGATGGAAGTGGGAGGTTGGGCTCTCCCCGGGTGGGGATAAGGGAGGGGTCACAATACATGGTTGGGAATTCCCATCTCATATCGAGGATATAAAAGAGAGGGATAGAGCGTTCACAAAACAAGTAGGAAATTTCATCCCCAAACACTGCACCGGGGGCCAGCGCTGCAATGAGGATGGAGGGGTGTGGACAACAGATGGCATGAAACGACCTCTTCGTCCTCTTTGAACCCAATAAGACAGCCAACTTGAGCTGGCACAATCATAACTCGCTGCTGGACTTACAATGTCTGAAAGTTAAGGCCAGTACCTTTTGGATATATGAAGGTGTGTGTAGGTGCCTGTGCAGAATGGTTAGGAAAAGAGTCTTGTCCTTGGACAAATGGGATATTAAAAGATGGCAGCCCTTGTGAGTATCCCCACCCCACCCTATGAAATAAAATGCCTAGAGGGATGAATGACATTGAGACATTGACCTGGCTTGGCAGCAATATGTGCAATCAACAGATACAAGAGGTCCATCAACGTAAATGGCCTGGCAACAGTTAACCCGGAAAAGCATCAGGCCATCTAGGACCAGCTTAGGAGTGTGGGGGGCAGGAGATGGCTGGACATGATTTGTAGTCAAGAGACCGATTTACAAAGATAAGCCAGAACATAATAGATCCCATAAGATGGTCTGGCCACACCCCATGGTGCGGGCCTACGATCCCAAACCGGGAACAGTAGGGGTGGCAATACGGATATACCCCTTGACTCAAGGTTTAAGATGGAGGGCCGGTGGGTATTAGTGCTTTGTATGGTTACGCTGGAATTGATCTGCGTTTTGTGCATGTACTCCCCCAATACAGTGGGAGAGAGGAGGGCATTCTTTGAGGGTCTTGGTGCACAACTGCGAGAAGGAATCCCGTTGATTATTGCTGAAGATTTTAATGCAGCCCCGGACAGATGACAATACAGATGGAACCCACATGAGTCTCCCGCCTTTGTGGCAGAAGAGGACGAGCAGATGATTTCTGATCTATGTGACTCCTCCCTCTCGATGTTGGACACTTTTCGCTGCGTCCATCCAAATGACTGTACTTTCACGTGCATAAGAGACATCGATCTGGGACAACTGTCCAAATCCGGTATAGACCTGATATTTATTTCCAATGACCTAGAAAGCACACTCCGATGGTCAACCATCCTCCCACGCAGCTCGTACCTAGGCCTGTGTGACAAACCACTTTCTGTAACGCGCGAGTTTCTGCGCGGTTGCAACTAGGGGTCCTAAGCTGGGAAGATTTGGCCAATTACGGGAAATCAGGATCGGTGGAAAATTGCATCAGTACCCTTGCTTCTTCGTTTTTTCCGTCATTTCTTCGGGGCTGGGTGTGTCCTGGGACGGCCGGTTGAGTGATTGGTCGGATGGATGTCTGGCGCGCCACCGCGCGCGCGATTAATAAATGTTGACGTCGTTTCTTTCGTTTCGATTTCGATCTTTTGGGCACAGACATCGCGCGAGAAATTCCTTCGTTCTTTTTTTTGAAATTTCACTTGAATCTTTTTCGAATTTTGTCGAGCCCCCAATGGCTCTCGGAATTTCGGACTTTCCTTCAGGAACTCGTGCTTTTTGTTTTTTTGCATTAGAAAGGAATTTAGGAATTTAGTAATTAGGATTTTTTCTGCCGCGCGGCGCCTTTTGTTTACGCGCTTCTTCATGTGGCTGCAACGGAACTCTGATTAGTAGGCGCCCTCAATTGCGTGTGTAACTGTAATTTTGGGCGGGCGCCATTGTAACTGTATCTTTCTTCTTGCACTTCGTCCTTCCCGCCCTCCCTCTCTTTCTTTTG